GCCAGTGATGGTGAACCTATGACACGTGTGTCAGAGGTGACACGCAAACTCCTTTTTTTTGGTTGATTTTTCTTTGTTAAATGGCATTTAAATATATAAAATAAATATCAAAAATATAAGTCTTTGTTTTACTATGGTTGCAAATATCAAAAAATTTCTATATGTGACACGGCACCAGAGTTAAGTTAGGGTTTTTCAAAATGCTGACACGCCGAGCTCAAAAAGTTCGCCATCACTGTGCTAGATCAACAGATCATTTGAATATTTATGAATAACTTTTTCTTACTGATTTTGACCATGGGCTTGTGAATTTATAAAGCTATTAAAAAATGTGTTCATTGTTTTTAGATATACAGGGTATCCCCCCAAAAATGTATACACACTTTAATAACTGATAGCTCAATTTTGAAAATAAAATGTATTTTAATAAACACTGCCTTTATAATTATTCAAAATGTGTGTATACATTTTTTGGGGACACCCTATATAATAACTAGGCTTTTCAACTCAACTTTCAGTTTACATGGTATAGTAAGAATTAGCAGTTTGACAAGAAAACATTTGCAGTGATCTGTAACTCTCCCTGCCCTCCCCTCCTCCGGCATAAAGCACGGTTCTGTGATTTGCTGTAATTTAAGGAGACCCTACTGGCATCTCTGTACTGGAGACTAAGAGTCAAGGATGTCATGAGAAGTTGGTGGGATTGCTTTTCCAGAGGCAGCTTGATGTGATGGACAGACAAGAGCCTGGGGACTGACTACAGCACACCTGCTGGCTCTGCCCGCCCTGAGCTGTGTGTGACTTGGGCAAAGCACTTCACCTCTCTGAGCCTGAGTCCGTGGGAAAGCATACCTGCCTAGAAGTAGGGATTGGAAAGCATGAGATGTTCCTGGTAACGTGCCTGGTCCATGAGAGGCACTCATATCTGGTGGCATATAGGAAGTAGAGAGCAAGAGTAGCATCTGTGTTATGGCAGCAGAGTGAATGGCCATTCTGAAATCACAGTTGGCCCTCCATATCCATGGGCCACCAACGGCAGATTAAAAATACCCAGAAGAAAAAGCTCCCCCAAAATTCCAAAAAACAAAATTTGAATTTGCCACACGCTGAGCACTGTGCTGAATCCATGCAAATGAAGTGAACACTGCCATAGCCTTTAGGCAAATACAGGGTATATGCAAATACTATATCATCATTTTACATAAGGGACTTGAACACCCCCGGATTTTGGTACCAATCCCCCAGGGAAACTGAGGGACAGCTATATAGGAGAAAATAAAATATACTTAATAAACTTAATACTTATTTTGTAAGTTAGACCTTGAGAATTTCCAGTAATTTAAATTTTAACTACTGTTATATCAATAAGTTTAGAACAGTCTAAATGTGGAGCAGTCCCATAACATAGTCATACTTATATGTTTTAAAATATAAATTCTGCTATAAGTTTCTGTCCATCTCATATAATTTTTATAAATATTTGAAAAGCTCAGTAATTCAATTTATCTAAGATTATTTGCTATTTAAATTTTAGGTAAATTGAACTGTGTAATTTGTGGCATATTAAATTTGGAGACAAAAATAAGTGATGTTTCTTGAAAATCCATTATCTACCTCATCACATTTAGGCAAATATAGTATATGAATTGCCCAGAGGTGCTTTTTGTAAACATATTAAAATGTTTTTACATTATGACCCATGTAATATTTATCACTAGCAAAAAATTAGAGTGATCTACTAGTATGTATTTACATTTTAAATTTGAACCACCTAACATGGCTTATTGAGTTTACAGTCCCCATATCCTTTGACTTTTATTGAATGAGGAACATTTTAGTCCAATACTTAAATTATTATCAGTTTTTCACACATAGATAACTTATTTTATTATAGAGTAACCCTTTGTATCTGTTGCCATGTAGTTTTGATTTTTTACATAAAGTTACATAAAACTTGTTACTGTAATTGAAAAAGTTTAAAAATTAAATAAAGGATAACTTTAAGAGAAAGTTGCATAAATCTTTGAATAGTCCCTACTTAATGATAATAAAATTTAAATTCCTGGTTTAATATATTGTAACTACTTTGTTTGAGGAACTATCAGATTTAATTTATCATTGTATAACATAAATTATAGATGGTATACAATAGTCTAAATTGATCAGAATATTTTCTTTAGAGACCAAACTTTGTTTCTGCACCAAATGGTTTTAAAGCAGCTTGTCTTAATATTTCTCTATTTTTGCAATACAGTATTTGTAGTAAATTTATAATTTAAAGCAAATGCACGTTAGTAGTATGATTATTTTACTAAGAGTTCTGAGACTGAATTAGCTGCTGAATTAACGTACCTATTTTTTAAGGGTACAGTTAATGAAAAAAGGACAATAATACAAACCTGTGATTTTTTAACTTAGAAAATAGAGAGCTGAGAAATTTTTTTTAAGCAGCAGAAATGGGCTCTGCAAGATAAATAACAAAAGTAACTTTAAAAAAAGATTTCTTCCATAAAATCCTGTTTTTAAAAAAAACTGTCTATAAAGTGATATGGAGTTAGCATTTTACCCAATATCCAGTTAAAAATTTCCTTAGAAATATTTTCCTGTAGTTTTCTATATGTTGCTTTTCTCAGTTTGTGTTTACTTTTCAATCTCTCCTTGAGATAATCTTAAGTATTGAATATACTCTGGTCTTTAATTGTGTAATGTTTATATATTTCTCCACATAATTATGTAAGATTTAACGTGCATCTAAAACATGCACTATTTTTGAGGAGCTGTTTAAAGTTGTGATTACCTAATTTGCTTATCCAAATGCTACTTTGTCAAAGTGCAATTTGGACTATACTAGTAGACTGAAGAAGTATTCTGTATTTTTCCCCTTTCCTTTCTCTTCCTTTTTCTTAATTTAGTCTTAGTTATGCATTTTTAAATTAAGTATGTAGTCTTTCTTTGGTACTTATTTTTCCATGTTTCAGAGATGAGTATGCCTCCGCTTTAGAAATGGAAACATTTGTGAGAGGTGTGTTACAACTTTTGGATTTTATCTGTATTTAGCTACAGCTCCTTCTGTCCACGTCTGGGATGCAGTGAACAAGCAGACGTTAGCTATACTAAGATGCTACCATTCAAAGGGCGTGTGTTCAGTCAGCTTCAGTGCTACTGGCAAACTCTTGCTGTCTGTGGGACTAGACCCAGAACATACTGTTACCATTTGGAGATGGCAGGAAGGTAGGATTCTTTTCCTTTGTGATTTTTAAAAATAAGAATACTATGGTAACATGAATTCTCAATTTAGTGTTTGTCTTAACTTGATGATTGAAACCATTATTCACAATAACCTGGACAATACACAGCACACAGCTGGTGTTATTGTAGGTACATCCCTCTTAAAAAGCCCAGCAAAATTGTAAGCTTGCAAAACATAACCTAATAAAGTTAATGTTATAAATGGTTTACTGCCCTTTTCTTTCAGTAAGAGATTATGTATATAAGCATTTTGCTGATTTTTGTTTGGCTAGGACAGTGATGGCGAACCTATGACACGCGTGTCAGAGATGACACGCGAACTCATTTTTTGGTTGATTTTTCTTTGTTAAATGGCATTTAAATATATAAAATAAATATCAAAAATATGTCTTTGTTTTACTATGGTTGCAAATATCAAAAAATTTCTATATGTGACACGGCACCAGAGTTAAGTTGGGGTTTTTCAAAATGCTGACACATCGAGCTCAAAAGGTTCGCCATCACTGGGCTAGGAGGTTCTTAATCAAGAATGGAAGTGAACTATATTGTAAGTGATAATGGAAGATCAATAGGGTTATTTTATTTAATATTCAGATAAAACTCCTCAGATACATAGCTACTATAAAAAGTTAAATTCATAGAGCTACATAGAAAAAAATAAGATATGGTTTCTAAAACCTAAAATGCCCCTTAACATATTAAGCACCCAGCCTGTTTTGTCTTCTGGATGGAAAGTATAGTGTCAGTCACCGATGACAGACTGGGCTTAAATGATGACAGCAGTTCTGCAGCTGAATTTGCAAGGCAGCTGGGTGGATGCTCATGGGAAGGAAGAACAATCCAGTTTTAATGAATTTTATAAACCAAAACTAAATAAATAAAATGCCCCTTAAATGATAATGAAGCTCTCTGTACACACATCACTTGCAAAAATATGTAGAAAGGACCCTCTACACAAGTAATTGTATATCATGTGGTTGCTAGGTAGCAGTGGAAGGGACACCCCCTCTCACTTTTTAAAATAATCATTTGCTTTTTGAACTACATATTTTGAGTAACTGTTTGATTCTATGAAAATTAGCTTAATTCTTATATTAACCTACATGATTTTGTCATATCTTTTTTTATCAGGTGCCAAAATTGCCAGCAAAGCTGGTCACAACCAACGTATTTTTGTGGCAGAATTCCGACCAGACTCAGATTCCCAGTTTGTCTCTGTGGGAGTAAAGCACGTGAAGTTCTGGACACTGGCAGGAAGGGCTCTTCTTAGCAAAAAAGGGCTGCTGAGCACACTCGAAGATGCCCGGATGCAGACCATGCTGGCTGTTGCATTTGGTGCAGTATGTCTCTTAAAATGCGTGTGGTAGTGTACTTTGAATTACCTAAATTGGACTACTTTGAATTTTCTTGCCTTAGATAAATCACATTAATGATGTTTAGATGGCACTGGAATCCAATCATTACATATGTCCCGGTCATGCATATATTTCATCTTTAAGAATCTGATACTCTCAGAAATCAGAGAGTGAGAAAGTTAATGAGGGAGAACTATAATGAAACCCTGGGCCATTGCCATTCTCAAAAGCCTTCGTTGATCTTATAATTGTTATCCTAAATCTCCTAGGCCCTAAAAATTTTTGAGAATAAAAGAGATATAAATCAAAAAATGTAATTTTCAAGTGTTTAAAAGGTGGTACTTGGGTTTAGGATTTCCTCTGCTTTTTATCATCTTAACTCTCTGCTTCTTACATAGCCGGAAGTGCTCTGGGCCAGTGTCTCTCATTCAGGGAAGAGAGCACACTGGTCTTTTTGTGCTTGTTAATCCTCACATGAGGATATTCTTCCATGGCTTTTCAGAGAGTGGAAAGGAGGGAGGCGGGGGGAGAGAAATACTGATGTGAGAGAGACACATCAACTGGTTGCCTCCTGCTCATCTCCTACTCGCAACCCAACCAGGACCCTTCGGTGCTTGGGTCAATGCTCTAACCACTGTGATACACTGGCCAGAGCACAACTGCTCTTAAACTTATAGAAAGTGTTCAAAAGAGCCACTTACTGCCCCTCCCATCCCATCTGGGACTGTTTTACAATTCACATCTCTCCTTAAATATCCTGTCCCTGGTGCATTGAAAACTAACTGGGTTTCCTTACTAAAGTATTTATGTGGGTATGTAATCCTTGAAGAAAATTACAATTTTAGAACCTTTAAGCAACTCGTGTTTTTGAGAAAAAGACCATTAAAAATGTGACAACGCCGTGTCAAACCAGTTAAATCTGTTGGGAATTCTTAATATAAGACCAGTAATTCCTTTCCAGAAGGAAAACCCACACATTCAAATGCTCCTGGCGTTTAATTTGCCCGTGTAGATTAACCTTCACATACAAAATTCCTTAGGTAGCTAATTGCCTATTCCCAACACAGAATAAATGTGAAGACTAAAATATGAGTCATACTTTTATGTTTGAAGCAACAGTGCAATCAGTGAGAATGTTTTGTTACAAAACAAGGTGAGTTTTCTTCAGTTTAAGCCTGTGAAGCTCTCTGCTAGGCTATGAAAACAGCCGGAGAAATAAGATACTGGTTTTTACAGTGCGAGCATTTACATTCTAACTGCACATAAGGCATGAATTAACGCTGCTCTTAGATGACAGATGTCATTGTTACTCAAATATGAGCTATAAGTATATATGCTGAGGAATTCACAGTGACAGTAAGTTGTAGGGAAATTAAACTTACAAACTAGTATTCTCAGGAAGATTAAAGAAAAATCTCCGTTTGTTTCTATTATCATTCCGTCTATTTTCCTATTGATTCTTTCCATATTGTTTTGGGTGGATGATCTTATACAAGTTGTTCTAAAAGTGAAGCTAAAATGGGATGAAAATAGCACGTGATGCAGGATTTCCATTTTCCAGTTTCCACATAATGAACTATATTGGGATTGCAGTTCTCAATGTAACCTAAAGCATATATAAGCTTTTGGTACCTTATCAAATTTATCTTATTTTGGATTGATTGCAGAAATGCATTCACTTTGGCTACCTTGATTTTAAGAAATGGCAAGTGTTAATTTCATTTTTAACATCGTGAGTTAGTAAAATCTGAAAAACTACAACTTTGCTATAGATGGTAGTTTTATTTTCTATGACAAGATAATGTAATAAAAAAGTTATTTTCACTTCCTATTTTTACTCTTTTTTTTTCACTCTCAGTTACTAGTGACCTTTAAATTATTTCTTGGCAGCTACAAGGGAGCATTCCGAAGGGACAATATGTAGTATTTGTAATTGGAAGAGACCTTAGCAATGGTTCTCAACCTTCCTAATGCCGCGACCCTTTAATACAGTCCCTCATGTTGTGGTGACCCCCAACCATAAAATTATTTTTGTTGCTACTTCATAACTGTAATTTTGCTACTGTTATGAATCGTAATGTAAATATCTGATATGCAGGATGTATTTTCATTGTTACAAATTGAACATAGTTAAAGCATAGTGATTAATCACAAAACAATATGTAATTATATATGTGTTTTCCGATGGTCGCGACCCACAGGTTGAGAACCGCTGCCTTAGAGGATGATTTCCCTCATTTTACCCATGAAAAAGCTGATACTCATAGAGGTTAAAAGTCTGGTCCAAGGTCATTCCAGCCAGTAAGCAACAGCACTGGAACAGAAAGAGCGCTGACAAGGCGCAGCCGCAGGTCAGGTTCCCTGGCTGCCGAGTGCATGTCCCCCCACCAGCCCTGCTCTCGGTAGCCGCGGTGAGGCAGGCTCATGTGTACATAAGAATTGCATCTGTTTGAACTCCACTGGAACTTTTGATGAGTGTGTCTTCCCCACTCCTTTTCAGAATAACTTGACGTTTACAGGTACCATCAGTGGAGATGTCTGCGTGTGGAAAGATCACATACTGTGTAGAGTTGTGGCCAGAGCCCACAACGGGCCTGTGTTTGCCATGTACACCACCCTGCGAGACGGGCTGATTGTGACTGGGGGCAAGGAAAGGCCGTGAGTCCTTTTTTCTTCACAGCCTTCCTGGCTATGCATGGTGACCTCCCTGAGGCTTGGTTAGTTATTCTAGTTATTTCTAAGGTTCTCCTCTCTGACCTTCCTCATCATATGCTTCTCATTTTACTGCCTTCTAAAAAAATATGTTTTTTATTGATTTTAGAGACAGAGGAAGAGAGAGGGATAGAGATGGAAACATCGATGAGAGAGACACTGATTGGCTGCTTCCTGAGCATGTCCCCCACGGGGGATCGAGGCTGCAACCCAGGCATGTGCCCTGATGGAGAATCAAACCAGCAACCTATCCATGCATGGGACAATGCACAAACAACTGAGCCATACCTGCCATGGCTTTATTTCTGATTTTAAATGGCTTTTTTTTTTGCATTGTAGATAAATTAATCTCCAGCAACGTTGGGTGATAATTTTTCTGAGGTATGGATAGGCTGTTGTCCTGCAAGTTAAGATTTGATTTTTTTCTTGACCCTGGGCAGGTATTTCAGTTGGTTAGAGAATTGTTCCAAAGCTTCAAGGTTGCAGGTTCCATCTCTGGTCAGGGCACATACACAAATCAGCCAATGAATGCATAAATCAGTGGAACAACAAATCAATGTCTCTCCCTCTTCTCCTCCCTCTCTCTTGCTCCCTCCATCTCTAAAATCAATAAAAGATGATTCTCTTTTTTTGTTAATCCTCACCCGAAAATATTTTTTCCATTTATTTTTGGAGAGGGTGGAAGGGAAGAAAGAGAGGAGGAGGGAAGGAAGAGGAGAAAGAGAGAGAAACATCAATGTGAGAGAGACACATCAATTGGTTGCCTCCTGTATACGCCCTGGTCGAACCTGCAACCAGGTATGTGCTCTTGACTGGGAATCTAACTTCGGTATGAGGGCCTATGCTCTAACCACTGAGGACACTGGCCAGAGCAAAAGATGATTTTATTGATGTCTATATGCTTCTATAAGTCTTTGCTGAGAAATAGGCGATTCATGGGGGAATCTTTGCCATTAAGCCCAGGATGCATCTTGACTGCTCGCTTTTGTTCAGACTGGATGCTGAGGGTAGAACGCACATTGCTGCATTAGAAAGGGTGAGAAGATGCTAGAAACAAACTCTGCCTCATTTGCTCTTGATTGAGGCAAACTTGTTAGATAAAACTGTTTAATACAAGACTTCAGAATTTAAGTCTGAAGAGAGGTATCCAGTGGAAACCAGATACTTGTCATTGATTTCCTGCCAACATATTCACATGCATGTTAAAGTGCAACATATAATGTGACCAAGAACTAAGTACATTTTCAGTGTAGGATTGCAAGAGCCCCATACACCAGTTAAACACAAATGCAGCTGCTTTTGCCTTTCTCATAAAGGAAGACTGTATTATGGTACAAGAACATGTTTTTCCCCAAGACAAGCAGTTCATCCAGCAGAAAATAAAGCAGTACGTGTTTCAGTCCTTCCAACAGAAAAACCGTAAATGGGCTAGATTTCATCTTATGTTACTTTGATGCTGTTTCCCATAATTATCTAGTCTTACACACCCGTACTCATTAGCCTATAAATGGTTTCAGTAGATATTGTTTTGATCTTAGAAATGGTTTTATAACTAAGGTAATAGGATGAACTTGTTCAAATGCCAAAGCTAACATGGAACATTTCACTGATGCCTCTCAATCCAAACAAGTGCCTGAATATATTAAATGTGTGTGTATACATATATAGGAAGCTTATTAGATAAAAGATATATTTTTTTCAGGTTTTGTTTTCAGTAGGACATTTGAATAATAATGTAGGAAAAAATGTGCTTCTCTTTTGGCCCGTAAAACTATATCCGATAACATGGCAGCTGGAATCCTTTCCTCTAGCCATACATTTCCATTGTCTTCTTAACATTAAATCACTTTATACATTTCCTTAATCAAGAGGTATTATAAAGGATATGTTTGGGGAGGCCACTAGATAAAATTATGCTCGTGTCAGAAAAATGAATTTTCATAAAATAAAATTTGCTTAAACTGAATGTTTGAGATACAGTATATCTTAAAATTGCCATAAAATGTTTAGAATATCAGAAGTAAATCATAAATATCAGGGCCTTATTAGTATCCTGCTTATAATTTAGTATTTGTTTTAGTAAACATTACTTGTAATAGCCAATAATAAATGCTTTTTTCGTTGCTTGGGTGGCTGTTAGGTCAAAAGAAGGAGGAGCAGTCAAACTGTGGGATCAGGAGCTGAGGCGATGCCGTGCCTTCCGGCTGGAGACGGGACAAGTCACAGATTGCGTCCGTTCCGTGTGCAGAGGCAGAGTAAGCTGATCCTGCGCCATGATGGGGCAGCAGGAAGTAAAGAACATTATCCCCGTGATTCTCACCCTCTGCAAGTCGAGGAGTAATCCTTAGACGGATTTGCTTGTCAGCTGTATTCTGTGGGGTCCCTGCTTTCTTTGCAGCTCCACTGCCGCCGTTGGCACACGTGCAGCCTGCACCGTGCAGGGCTCAGGGTGGAAGCGAAGCGCTCACCTCACGCTGTATCCAATCCTCCATACTTTCGTGAATCTGCTCATTCAACGGTGGTAGATGGAACTGAATTTCCTTTCCCGTTACTAATTTTGATTGGTGCTGCTGTTTTATTTTCTTAAAAACACACATTTCTATACAAAGTTTTGACTATGCATATACTTGTAAAGTGTATTTATATATCATCTTCATGTATTACTGTCAGTCTGTATATTAAATTTTAGTTAAGCTTTTATTTACACTTATTTTGCATTAAAATCCAAACTTTCTTCCTACATCTCAATGCACTTAACACCCCTTTGGAGATTTACAGAGTCAAAAACCTGATGATTGGAGAAGCCAGGTGTATTATCTTAGAGAAAAGGTGACATTTTTAGCACGGACTCTGACATGCCACCCAGCCCAGTGCTCTTGCAAATGGGCCTCTAGTCATAGAAAACCACATAGGCTAGGTTAGTGCAAAGCAGCAAGTTCTCTGAAAGTAGGTTGCTTTGGTTCTGGATACAGTTCTAACAGGATAGATAGGGTGTGGGAAGCCCACATAACTCCAAACAATTCTCCAACACCAACAGGGTGTCTGAAAATTCGACTCAATTCTGACACTGCCTACCCAGAGATAGCATCAGATCCTACAGGTGAGGGGTCTCCTAGGAGACTGCCCCACCCCCTTTAGACACCAGTCTTAAGTCCAGGTGGTGCTTCCAACCAACTGGCTACAGATTGGGGGTTCCCACCCCTAGGTTTGGTTTATTTGCTAGAGCAGCTCACAGAACTCCAAGATATTTTACTAGGTCACAGGTTTACTGTAAAAGGACGAAACTCCTGCTCAGCCAGATGTAGAAGTATGTGGCACAGGCGGGAGCTGCAGCTCCCCCAGCAGCCACCCTTCCCTCACCTCCACCTGTTCACCAGCTCCCTCCTTTGGATTTCCATGGAGGCCTTATCTGTCAGGACTGATTAACTCCTTAGCCATTGGTAACTGATTTAACTTCCAGCCCTTCCACCCTCCCCAGGTGGATGGTGAGATGGAACTGAAAGTGACAACCCTCATCACATGGTTGAGTCTCCTGGCAACCAGTATCCAATCTTAAGTGGAATCCAAATGGCACTTCATTAACATACCAAAAGACGCTTTTAAGGCTCTCATCACTTAGTAAATTCCAAGGGTTTTAGGAGCTTAGTGCCAGAAATGGGACGAAGACCAAATCTGTATTTATTATAAATCACAGTAGCACATAGGTCAATAGGGCATTCTTATTAAAAAGAACTGTAGTGTTACATTAAATATTGGTTCCACTTGTATTTCAGGGCAAGATACTAGTTGGGACAAGGAATGCTGAAATAATTGAAGTTGGAGAGAAAAATGCAGCATGTAATATTTTAGTTAATGGTCATGTGGACGGACCCATATGGGGACTTGCAACACATCCTTCCAGGGATTTTTTCCTCTCTGCTGCCGAAGATGGGACAGTGAGACTCTGGGATATTGCTGATAAAGTAGGTGCAAACAGTTTAAAAGATGTTATAATTTTTCAGAATTGTGTTGAGTTTTGGGAAGAAATTGGTTTATTCTGTAAGTACTCTACTTAATATAGTACTCTTTGACTCTTGGTTCTTATGCAGAAGATGTTAAACAAAGTGAATTTGGGACATGCTGCTCGTACTGTGTGTTACAGCCCTGAAGGGGACATGGTGGCTATAGGAATGAAAAATGGAGAATTTATTATTTTACTGGTGAGCTCTCTAAAAATATGGGGAAAGAAGAGAGACAGACGATGTGCAATCCATGATATCAGGTTAGTCAACAAATGGAGTAGTATTTCTAGTATCCTTTTAATTGACCCAGTTTGCATTTGAAAAAAGGTTGTTGCCGATAGCATTTTATCACATCATAAATTGTATGCTGAAATATGGCTGTTTATAGACTTATTTTCTTCTTGATAAGTTATGAATCCACTGGGCACCAACCACAGTGCCTTGTAATAGCAAGTACTCAGCGAATGTTAGATGCCCAGTAAGTTCCTCCTGCCAAAGTGATCTTTCCCTGCCCTTCAAGAGCTGTCAGCCTGGAAAACTGCAGTAGTAATCCAACCATCTCTTACTTTTCTTAATATCAACAGAATATATAGTTCATTCATTTAATACTTACTAAATACCTGCTATGCCCCAGAATCTGAATTTCTTGAACTTTTATTTTTCAGTGCTTAAGCTTATTTTAAGTGGCTACCATTTACTGAGCACTTCTATGTGATCTAGATAGATAATAATCCAGGTCAGAATCTTCCACTTTCTCCACCGCTAAAACCCCTTTCCAAAGGAAACTTCCTCAGAACTTCAGGACATAAAACAATAATGGCTTCCCTAAGGTACTGAGCTCAGCAAGTTTTCACAAGACTGATTGAATAGTTTTCCATGATCACTAGGCAAATAGTACTTTGTCTTTTAAAATAACATCATCCAAGCCTCAAGTAATGTCCCTTCTTCTGATAACCTGCGTGAATTAAGCTGGTCTGTGTTCTTTACTGCTAAGACACGATGTTTCCAGATGAAAGAATCCTGACTACCTTAGGTGAATTATGTAACTTGGTAATTATGTAATTGTTAGTGGTTTTTTAAAAACAAATGTTTTTAAAGGAATTAGGAGATAAAAGTTCAGAAACAATTTAAGATTGAAGTAAAATATAAAGTTTTGTTTCATGTAACACCAATATCTCAGGATACATAATCATTTGTTCCTAGTAGGTACATCTGTTTGAGGCCGTATCTTGTGTACACACTTTTGAGCTAGAAAGAGAAGTCACAGGTCTTTTAACTGTCACTTAATGCATCTTTTACATGTTTTGTTACCTACTCAGATTTAGTCCAGATTGCCGGTTCCTGGCAGTGGGTTCTAGTGAGAACTCAGTGGATTTTTATGACCTGTCATTGGGCCCCACCCTTAACAGAACCAGCTACTGCAAAGACATCCCCAGCTTCGTCATCCAAATGGACTTCTCCGCAGACAGCAGATACCTCCAGGTGCAGTATCAGTACTGGACATGTGTACATTTCTTCTACATTTCGTTAGTTGATGCATTAAAACGCCTGAGTTCCAGTGCTTCCAAACTCTTGCATTTCCTACTCACTACATTTTTTACTACCCTGTTCCTCAGTCCTTTCCTCCACTTTTTTGTACAAGATTTTGTAGTCATCTTTTCATTCTTAGTAATGTTAGAAATGTAAACCAGATAGCACTCTGCTAGTATACTGTAAACTTCTGGATTTTGCCTCACATAATGGAATTATTGTTCCATTTTAATATATGATGAAAGGTGTCCACTGGTTGCTATAAACGGCATGTCTACGAAGTGCCTTCGGGAAGACATCTTACGGATCAGGCTGCCATTGATAGAATTACTTGGGCTACATGGACTAGGTAAGCATTCATATAGTCATTGAGACGGACTGCTCATTCTGGGACTGCTTTTGGTTGCCTGTATTTCCAGGCTTTTTCAGTTTCCATGACTTATCAGTTCTTTTAAAGAAAGGAAATCAAAGTTAATACTTTAAAGATGCCCTGATATTTCCTTTAACATCATAGGTTTAACAGACAAATATATTGGGTTCTGTTAGACAACTGTATTATTTCTCTATCGAAAAGGAATGCTATCTTGCAGCTGTTAAAAATGAAACGATAAATTTGTTCAAACTCACTGGCTGTGTAACAGGTAATGATGAGCATCCATCTTCTTGGCCAATGTAAATGAAAACTGTCAAATTCCTATAGAATAAGCATCACTTTTTATTTTATAAAGCCAGCTCTCATACAGTAATTTTTAAAAGGTTATTTCGTGTATAAATCTTAAAATTTTTAAATTTTCTTTAGGCGGGGGGAGGATTAACATCCCAGGTGAAACTCAGGACTCCCAGTAACTTACAATTTGCTTCCTGTATTTTAAAACACACATTAGGTACTTAGAGATTAATTACCAAGAAACTTTTTCAGTATGGTCAACCTGTGTTTGCTATGGTGGATTTCTCTTTTCCCTTCCCTCTAGCATTCTAGGAAGTGAAGTTATGGGAATCTGGTCCAGGCACGCTGAGAAAGCAGATGTCAACTGTGCCTGTGTGTCTCATTCAGGAATCAGCCTTGTGACAGGAGATGACTTTGGCATGGTTAAGTTATTTGACTTCCCATGCCCTGAAAAATTTGTAAGTGTTTGGTTTAGCATTTTATAGAATTATATTCTCAATTAAATGTCTGATCATTAATACATTTCCCCGCATAATAGCTAAACTGTGTTGTGTCCTGCTCTGGAAATACTTTGTATTCTTAATTTTTTTTCCCCAAACTTCTTAAATCCCTTACTCTGAAATAACAGCTATTAGAAATTATACCCCCTGCCCCAAAGTAACACCCATCTTTGCAAACTATACTAATAAAAAGCTGTGATTAGTGTTTTTTCAAACCTTTACCAAGTTTCAAATGCTTTTCCTCAGGAAAAATTTGAGTAACTGGAGACATCTGCCTGCCCAAATCACCTGGTTTGTGTTAAGTGCTGACCCATTACTAATCTGAAAGGCACTTGATCACTGGCTATGGTCCTAACTGCTTCCTCTCTCCTCAGCCCTGGTGATGGGAAGTTATGGTTCCTTGTAGCAACCTTTGACTTTTGTGTGCATCATACACCTTGAGCTTAGTTTTTTGTTTGTTTTTTCAGGCAAAGCATAAAAGGTTCTTAGGTCATTCACCCCATGTGACAAATATTCGGTTTACCAGTGGTGATCGACACGTGATTAGTGCTGGAGGTGATGACTGCAGGTTGGTAACTTTTTCAGCCCAAGAGCAGACTGTCTTTGCTAGTTAGAGATTTGGTATCACTTCTACAGCTGCAGGTTGTGGACTCACTTAACTGTCAGCATCGGAAGGTAGCAAAAGCAGATGACTCCTTAGAGCAATGGTTCTCAACCTTGGCTGCACATTAGAATCACCTGGGAATCTTTTTAAAATCCTGATTTCTGGGTCTCATCCTCCAGAAATTCTGTTTCTTTGTTATGGGGTGGGGTCACAACATTAGTAACAAAGAAACAGAATTTCCAGAGGATGAGGCCCAGAAATCAGGATTTTAAAAAGATTTCCAGGTGATTCTAATGTGCAGCCAAGGTTGAGAACCACTGCCTTAGAGTCACCCACTATGTATAAATACAGAGTAAAAGGAGTTAACGAAAAATTTTATACATGTATGGTTTGAAAGCTCAATTGAAAAACTTAACTGTTCTGAAAACCTAGAAATATAATGAACTCACTGCAGGTTTCCTCTGGTTGCAGTTTGTTTGTCTGGAAGTGTGTACACACGCCCCATTGAAAGACATGGATGCTGGGAAGACTGAAAAAACAGCCTTGAGAAACCAGAATTACAGACGAGGGAGAAGTCAAGTGGTGCTAATTTAAGATTGTAACAGGGATATGCCCAGAATCATCAAAATATAAGATGGATAAGTTCAAAATATTTATTATATGCACTGAGTAACTGTAATCCATACACTGCCAGATAATTACAATTCAAGGAAGGACAAAATAAATACTTAATAGTGAGAGCCAACCCCCATTTGGGGGAAGTGTGCAAATTTGGCAGACCTGCTGGCGAGGCAAACCAAAACCTTAAAAACCCAACTCGGATTATTTTCATCATCCTTTAACACAACACTTTCCTTTTAGAAAGTTTGTGGTTCACAGTTTAAGTGAAATATATCCTTATGTTTCTGTAAGGAAAGGAAACACACCATCACCCTAAAGGATGTTTTTAAAAGGCAAACCTTATTTTCCCTGAGGAGACACACACAAGCTTCCCTGGAGGACATACTACTTCTGCAGCATCAAGAAAAGCCCTTTTTATAAATGATAGTGTTCTCCTGGCATTTGTAGTACAGGGACAAATCCAAAGTTATTAGCATATGATTGCTACATTTTCATTTTTTGAGCTATCCATCTTCATCTTTATTCAGAAGTTATTTCTATATTTGAAAAGTTAAAATTATAGCCTCAATGAAAAAGTAGTATGATGAACATCATTTCCAACTGTGTACTGTTTTTTAAGGTTTTAGATAGCAATAGTATTTAAGTGGGAGAGCATACTGAATATTTAAAGATATACTCCAATAGAAACATGTTTAACATGTAAACTAAAGAGTTAAATTCACATTTACAAAGTTATACAATTTAGTTAAATTCTTGAAAAAATATTTTTACAGCTTTTTATTTTTTTAATTGGAAAATCCGTTTAGATGTATGCCACCCATAGCCAACTTCCAAAAGGAATGAATACAAGTTCACTTTTCAAACTTGTCTATTTCTTTTTGGTGGGTTGGGGCTGAACTCTTAGATCTTTATTCCTATTCACTTTAAATGCTGCCAAAGATCAGTATTTGCCATTCAGGAATATGCTGTTTAGCCTATCTGTAGTTTCCTGAAGATTGGAAATTATGTAAACTGATATTTAAAAATATATTTTTCTAAGTGTGAAGAAGATTATGATGCTCTATTGGTCCTATGAATTTTTATTTTAATGTGTTATCTTTGTAGCATAGTAGGCCCCTTCAGGTGTCTGGAAATCTTAGTTTTGTATGTCCAACGCCTTGTAAATACTAAAAACAGAAATGGTCAAATTACATCACAAGAAAGCCTAACCAGTGATTAAAGCTGATCAGTTTTAAAGCTTGGAATAGCTGTGTTGAAAGAACTGATTAAAGGTGTTTAAGAAACTTGAAACATAAGATCATATTCTTTCATTATTTACATCAGTCTCCTAAATAAAGGCAAATTTTAGAATACACTAATATTACATTTCTATTCATGTATATTATAAAGGAGCAGTCAACAAATTAAAGGGAAAAAAATCCCCTGAATCCCTCTCTCCCTCCATTTTTGAGACTTTTGGCAGTCAAGTTTGCAGGTTTTTGGCTAAAGAGAAATTCCATTTCTATCACAATGCAAATAGAAACTCTACTCACCTTAAGCAAGTAGGATAAAATTGCTTCCATTGCATTTTCTTTCTTCCAAGTGGCCAACTTGATAAGCCAACCTTACTCACTGTTGTCAGTTCATGACTGAAGGTCGTATTGAATTTAAGGAGTCATCCATGAGTACCTTGCACTTTTGCTTTTACCAGCCATCAAACTAAGGGAAGGTGAAAAACCACCATAGTCCATGGAGATTCTGCTGTTCATTTTTTTAACCCAGAGAGAATTATGTGTGTGTGTGTGTGTGCAGTATCTGACTATGCTCCTGAATTTGTAAGCTGAGACTTCTCCTGGCACCTTTAGCCCTGTTTCTGTATATAAACGCATGCCAAAGCACACTGCACACTGTGCCACTCACTGCTTACCGTGAGCCACACCCTTTCCCTTCCATTTTTTGTGATCCTTTTGGATGATGGTTCATTTTAGACCAAATTACCCAACAAATGTTTTAGAATCAACCTTAGCTCTCCCATAAACCATAGCAACTGAAAGATAAGATTAAACTCTTAAATATGTTTCCAGGCAATGTCTATTAAGTAGCAAGAAACAATTCAATCTTAGCATGTTATTTCCTTGTAAAATGGCTGAACTAAACCACACCAGCCCTTGTTTCCCACTTATGTCTTTTATAGTGGAATTATGACACTGCAACTACAAAACATTTATAAACGATGATGCTAAATATCTGTTTAAATTTCTGGAAGTACAATTTAAAACAAATTTCTTCTGCAGAGATGTGAAAAAGCATCTCAAGTACTAACACTGGAATGAATATATGCCTTAAATTCAATGGAGCCCACTTTTTAGAAGAGGAGGAATGGTCACTTCACTCACACCTCACTGGCAACTCTGTGCTCTCCTGTACTTTGTCTTTACTTTGGAATCAGCAGAGCAAAGTGCAACTTACAAAATGGTTAACGGTTATCTTTCTTCTCCCAATGGAAGAGCAGCAGCCACAAAACAACAGACTGCTGGTTTCAGGCTCTTAAACATGGGTTGACACGTGTGGTTTCATTCTCTCTTGAGGATGTGATTGAAGAAGTCACTGAACTTTTTTACAGTTACATTTAATTTGGTCGTCAGAATGTTTGAGTCTTTATTATCCCTTTTGCATTAATTCGCTTTTTTCTAACCAACTTTTAGCTTTACTTTTTAAAAAACTGTACATCAAGTCTTTAAAATCAGTGATCCGTTTAATTCTAAAGTTTTTGACACTTCTTGCCTTAACAATTTTAAAAACCACAAACACATAACTGTATTTTAATTCAGTAGTCAAAAAGTTTAGTCCTACTTTGCAATTTATCCATCTGATCTCTGTAATTATATAGTCTGCCATTTAAAATATACTATTGAAATCTAATTTTTACATTTAAAAAATTATCTTCAGTAACTATATTTTCTGGAATTATTTCTGAGAATGTTTTTCAGAATGGGAGAATGTATATGTATAGCTATATAATCTTGTGAATTTCAAGTCTGTTCTCTGATACCTATGTATATATACTTGTAAAAACTTTTGTATAATTTTGTGATAATGTAATTCTCCAAAATATTTATTTTAAAAGTATATGTTAACAGTAAATGAAAACATTTTAAGTAATTGTTCTTTTTCTTTTTGCCGTTGGCATTCCAGCTGTTTTCACTCTACATGCCCACCTCACTCATCCTTACCCAGAAGGCAAAGACTAGCTATTTGGGAACCATTTACCAAACCAGCACGCAACCTAAGAAGCCAAACTTAATCACTTAAAATTTAAAAGTAGGATGGACTATTTAAACTACCTCAACACTTTTTTAGTGGATCATGAACATTATATAATCCCTGGAAAAAATGAAAGTAGCAATCCAACTTTTGGAATAAGGATGTTCCCCTCACTATATTTCTTTGTATACACACGCTCGCGCGCGCACACACACGCAGACACTCACAGCAACATGTAGCCCCAAACTGGATTATCTGTACTGACAATATCACCATGTTGTACATGCTGATACTCAAAACAGCAGTGTACAAACACACCAGGTGTTTTAATAGAATTCAGTTTTTCCTTAAACTGTCTTTCCATAGTCAAAACAAGGCAAACAACAACAAAACACCCAATGTTAAAACCACATAATAAACTTACAAACTTGAAAAATTAGGTACTTCAGATAGGCAATAACTTCATATTATGAAAGCAATATATTCCAAGTTTCAAAGATTTGACAAGTTCTACAGAATCTTTTTCATCAGTAGATGGAAACTTTCAAACTTCACGATCTTCTGCCAGGTAGGACTGGGTGTCATTCACTGAATAAAACCAAAAAAAATTTTTAATTAACTGCTTCGCATCCCTATATACCACATACCTTAATTAAGAAGCTGAGTATCTTCAGACAATGAATATTTGTTCTACAGATTATGATGCAAATACCAGATTTTAAAAGGTACATAAAAGATAACATGAATTTATAGGCCACACTAAAATGTTCTGAAACTTTTTCCCCCCGAATTACTAATGTCTAAGAAAACTGGTATGAGATTTGTAAGCAGTGTAACTCCTGAAGGCCTTAGTGTATGTGCAGATGAAGTTATAAAAGAAACTTGATCTGGAGATGATCCAGGGAAATAAGCAATTACTGGATAAAACAAAATTGGCTTCTACACTATATTATTTTTCCAAAGGACCCATGTAAAATTAAACATCAGAGAAAAAGCAGTGATAATTTATTCCACATTTGTGTGCTTATAAATTTAAGAAACTACATATTAAAAAAGTACAGTGGGGCCTTGACTTACGAGTTTAATTCGTTCCGTGACGGAGCTCGTAACTCAAATTACTCATATGTCAAATCAAAAAGTGAACGAGTGAGACACGTGATGCTGGGCTGATGTTGTGGCGTTCACTGTGACGTTCGCTGCGCCAACTAGCGGTGGGGTATCTGAAGCTGGCTGGTAACCCGAATTTTAGCTCGCAACTCAAAACAAAAAATCGGCCGAGAGACGGCTCATATCTCGAAAAACTCGTTAGTCGGGATACTCGTAAGTCAAGGCCCCACTGTATTTGAAATGCCATTAGGAAAACTAATTTTCATCTTTACCTGGTTTGAGGCCGAATCCATTTCAAGGCATGTCGTGGCGGCACAGTAATGGTGGGATGATAAAACGTGCAGTCAGGTCTTGTACACTGAGTGTTAAATCTACAGTGCTAAGGAGATAAGAACAGTTTCAACATATGCAAAGCTAATACAGACAAAAATGGCAATTAGAGTGACACTAACAAGCTCACCCTAACAATGGGGCAAGAGATATGGTCTGTAACATTAATTTTATTACTACTGAAACCTTGAAAAATAACCACACACACACACACAATCCTAGTCACAGAATAAGAGCAAGCCAAATTTCAAAAAGAACCTTAGCATACAATCAACTACTTCTAATCAATGTTTAACAATCACCCTGCACGCCCTGCCTAACACCCTAACATTCTTCACTGAGCACCCTCAGCTATGCCCAACTGCAGTTGAGGGAAGTGAAGGCCTTCTGTATGGTCTTCAGGCTGCTATTTCAAAAAGGAGACACTACTCTGAGCAACGAAACAGCTGAGGACACATCAACCAGTCTTTAGTACACAGACAAAAGCATCAGAACAAGCCTGGATGGCAGTAAGCTGGACTACTAATGTCACCATCTCAGTTCTAGCATTAGGGAAAGAAAAAACCACCGACATGCTTAGGGACAGTGAAGAACAGAAACTGACTAGCAAAGGTGAGCTTTACCCTCCTGAGAGCTTAGAAGACTGACATTCAGTAGTGTCACACCACTTGGCCAGAGAGAAAAACGGGCTGAGTGACACTAAGGAATAACTTGAAGATCTTAAAGACCCTCAACTTAACTCTAACAAAAAATAAGTTAAAGGAGGTGAGGAAGATACTCAATCTCAATTTGCTAGTGATCTTCCAGGTCTCACAACTGAAAAGTTATCACTAAATTCAGTTTTGGGAAAATGGGTGGGGGTAAAGGGGAGAGATAAACCAAAGGACTTGTATGCAGGCATATAAACCTAACCAATGGACAGACACCAGGGGGGTGAGGGCATGAATGGGGGGGTGGAGGGTGGGGGAGTAATAGGGGGATAAGGACACATATGTAATACCTTAATCAATAAAGGGGAAAAAAAGTTCTTACTTTTGGATGAAAGAAGGGACATTCCATTTTTTTACAAGCAGGGAAGTAACGGCAGAGCTGACTACTAGAAGATGGTGTTGCTGTTATAACTGCTGACAAGAATGACAAACATTGATCAAATTTATTTGGCAAAATAATTTTTAATGCATTCTGTTTTTATGGGAACCATTTTAAAATTAAAATATTATGAATGATGAGACATATATATTCATTAGTGAAGATAAAAATACGTAAGAATACTATAGTATGCATGCACTTCCTCTTTGGAGACTCGTTACTTTAATTGATTCTGCTACAATTTTGAAACTATTCCTTTCACAAAATGTCATTTTTAATTTTATTTTACCCAAAAGTAGTAGTGCACAAAGTCACTAACCTGGTTTTGGAGGCAGTATTGGAATTCTTCTATTCATATGAGTGAAGGGACAATCTGGCTTAGTACATTTTGCATCATATTTACAATTTGGATGGACAAACA